GTCTAGAAGCCCATATTTACGGACAAGCTTTAGCAGATCGTCCCCCAAGCCACTCGCGTGGAAAAACATAAAATACGTCTATAGACGTCTTTGGCAGAAAATGAGTTAAATGTATATGTTTCTAAATGCCCTGTGGCTTCTTCTTTTTCTTCTTCTGTGGTTTAGTGCAGATCTACTTCTACCTGCTGTCTTTGTCCTGCTGCATCTGGGAGCCTTTCTCTGCATGTCCCCCCTAAATCGTAAAACCTGAGCCCTGGATCTTGGGGGTTGGTCTCTAACCTCCACAGACCAGATCTCCTCCAGCCAGAGAAAAGCAGCAGGGCTGCGTCTGGTCCAGCTAAACTCCCCCTGCTGGTCAAACTCTGGAGTCCTGGAACAAACGGAGGCTTTTCTGCCTTTCTGTTCTTTTTGTGGATGACCCCCAAAACCTGGAGTCCAGATGGAATCAGAGACCAGGACCTACAGACTCGTTCTGGGTACTTCTGGGTCCTACAGACACATTATGGGTCCTACAAACTCATTCTGGGTCTTACGGAATCATTCTGGGTCCTTCAGACACATTCTGGGACCTACAGACTCCTTCTGGGTCTTACAGACTCACTCTGGGTCTTTCCGGGTCCTACAGACACATTCTGGGTCTTACATATTCATTCCAGGTCCTACAGACACATTATGGGTCCTTCTGGGTCCTACAGACACATTCTGGGTCTTACATATTCATTCCAGGTCCTACAGACTCATTCTGGGTCCTTCTGGGTCCTACAGACACATTCTGGGTCTTACAGACTCATTCTGGGTCCTACAGAGACATTCTGGGTCCTACAGACTCATTCTTGGCCCTAAAGACTCATTCTGGGTCCTTCAGGCTCATTCTAGGTCCTTCTGGGTCCTACAGACTCACTCTGGGCCCTACAGACTCATTCTGGATCCATCCGGCTCATTCTAGGTCCTTCTGGGTCCTACAGACTCATTTTGGGTCCTACAGACTCATTCTGGGACCGACAGACTCATTCTGGGTCTTTCTGGGTCTTACAGACTCATTTTGGGTCCTACAGGCTCACTCTGGGTCCTACAGACACATTCTGGGTCCTTCTGGGTCCTATGGGCTCATTCTGGGTCCTACAGGCTCATTCTGGGTTCTTTCTGTTGAGGATGCTGAAGACCTGGACTCCAGATGAAGTCAGATACCAGGACCAGTAGGAGGAGACGGCATCTCCTTGGACATTTAATAATCAGTTTTGGGGGCCCCTGCCTGGACCCGGCCCTGCAGGGGGACCCGGCTGGAGGTCTTTGGGTCTTAAAAAACTCCCTTTAGTCCTTTTCTGCTCCCAAAAGAACAAATTCTTTCTGAAACTCTGAAAACAAAGTGGTCCTTTTTGCTATTTACAGTTCAGGCATCGGAATGCCTCTGAGATCCGAACATCAGCTCAGTCTTTTCCAGTGTGGGCGCTCAGGCGTTTGGGCCGGGCCGGGC